AAGATAGAGATAGAATTTGAGAGGGTGTGAGAGATGAAGATGAATAAATAGTTGTTGTTAATGAAGCTTAAATTCGAAAAAAGTTTATCATATCCTGTGATTATAAAATATCAAAATTTTATTCGAATTTATATGATCAAATTGTAAACACAATTTATATAATCCAATCGTAAACACAATCATATCCCTATGATAACAACACATCCAACAATATTGAAAAAGAAACATGTAATAACAAATCACATTTTTTTAATGAATATAATTTCTACATACCTTTTAAAATCTTTGAATTTTTCTTCAACTCTCATCTTCTTCATCGCTCACAAAAGGATTTTATATGATTTCATTTTGTTTATTATTGAAACTTTAAAAAACAAATTTCATTAAGAAATAAAAGAAAGTAAATGGAAGAGCAAATGAAGAGTTGGAAGTTAAACTTGGGTATACAAAATTACAAAAATAACCCGGGTTAATTATGAGCTATACATTTTTCATCAAAGGGCAAAAAAGTCTTTAACATATTCAACATTTAAAAAATTCAAAAAAATATGAGAAAAAAGATAGGAGGGGTTCTAAGCATTAGAAGATGCCAACTCATTACCTTTGGTTTCTTCTTATATATATATATATATATATATATATATATAGATTTGTTCTGAATCTGTTAAATAATAAAAAGAAAATGTTATACTAAAATGCCCTAGTAAAACATCTTCATGCATGGGAGGTTTGTACCTTGCTGTACAAACTTCAACCCTTCATAACGGCGCCCAAAATTTCATTTTTTGCAACATCTGATTCTTCTGTACATGGAAATCGCAACTGTGTGATTGAGGAGGATTAGGGCATGAAATTACGCACCACCATCAAAGCGGCCTTCACCGATCGTCATCGTTAAGTTTTTTCTAAGGTAATGCTCACTTCTTTTTTAGGGTTTCAATCCTACTGTGGTTTTCCAACGAAATTTCACTTCTCTGAGAGATATTCGATTTTTTCTTTTTTGCATTTAAGCCATCTTGTTACTGTGCGATGGAATATGAAGTTATGGTCGTCTTCAATAAAAGTATGACCCTAATGTTATATGTGCAATGAATTTAAGATTTTGCTTATGACATAATTTGCTGCTAATGTCTGTAAATGATTGAATTTGGAAGAATGAAATGAGTGGCTGATTTTGTTCTAGGAAGACTACTGGAATGGAGCTAAGCTACTTCCTTATCATGTAGATCAGTTGTGAGTTTCAGGTCCTATATGTTGATTATAAACAGGTGGGGTGCGGTGTTTTGGAGAGGACTGATGCTATTAAGCTGCAGATTATAATTAGTAAGCCGTTGATGGATTAATACTCTTTTAGGAGGTTAACTGCCAGCCGGTTCACAAGTACTTGTATTCTGCAGCTAAGTACCAATGCTTGGAGGGCAGCTGGTGATGGTACACCTGCAAGATCTATTACATAGACCAAGACATTTAAATCGTTCTTGGTCATTTTAAGTGCACTCTTAGAACACGTGGCACAATAGGCAGCTTCACTCCTTGCCGTGCAAGTACCACTTGCATTTCCTTTTCTTTTATGAACCGATTTGGTCGTACGCTCTTTGGCCTTTGCTACATGTCATAGAACGACTATGCAGTGAAGATCTTGATTTCAGGCACCAAAGACCACTATATCTAGTTGTCCAAATGTCTCTGTGGATGGGCTGCCTTGAGCTCTTAACATGCGGATACTTTCCTACCAAACTGCCTTCTGAGTTTACCCTTCTCTTGCCCATTGTCCAGGATATATGTAATCTCTTGTAGCATCATCACAAGCTTTGATTCCAAGTACAGAAATAGTAGTACGTCTTCTCACATGGTTAAGGCTGGTATAGATATTAGTAAGCTTAAAGTTGTGGGATCTATTCATTTAGTCCAGGTTAGTGCAGACCATGGAGGGGTGTGGGTGTTACACTTTGTTATAGGATTGCTGGAAGGACATCATAGCTCAGGTGGCTGTGATTACATATGCCCTTTATGTGTATGTGGTATGCGCTTGTCATGCAGACAATAACAGGCCCTTTACATATATGTTTTGTGGACATCTACAGTGAAGATTAGGAATATTGCGACGCGTAAATTTGGTAATGCTGTCTTGGCTGATTTGAGGGTTAATGCTGATTGAGGCTCACAATATCTAGAGCATCCCACTCTTCATTTAAGCTGTATAATAATCTGGTTTTAAATGTCGGAACATGTCATTAACTGTTGTACTAGTTTTAAAAGAAAGCTTCCCTTGTCTGGTAGATTGCACTGATCTTCATGATGGAAAATAATATTCATGTGATTAGAATTGTTTGCCTTCTATTCTTTCACTATTGTTGCTGTTATCTCTTTTATTGAAAGCTCTTTGTTTTATATGTATTAGTGTTCAAATTGACTTGTTGAACTTTATGGGAGGAGTGCTTGGATACAACTGTGTAATTGTGAAGTGCAGATAATCATAGCACAGATACTTATTATCACTGTTGGTCTGGTCTCAAGGTCAACTGTGAATCACAATGGGAAGTAAAGGTAGACTTCCTCCTCATCATTTAAGGCGTCCTCTTCCTGGCCCTGGCATTGGACATCATGATTCAATTCCACCAGAAATGCACCCTCAACATGGTGGCTTTCCTCCATTTGATATGATGCCACATCCAGAAGTCATGGAACAGAAACTTGCTGCACAGCATGTGGAGATGCAGAAACTTGCAACAGAAAACCAGAGATTTGCTGCTACTCATGGAACCTTGAGGCAAGACCTTGCTTCCATACAACATGAGCTGCAAATGTTACATAATCATGTTGGAGCTGTAAAGTCAGAGAGAGAACAGCAAATAATGGGCCTGTTGGATAATATTGGGAAGATGGAATCGGGCCTCCAAGGTGCAGAGCCACTTAAGTTGGAACTGCATCAAGCAAGAGCAAATGCACAGAGCTTGCTTTCAGCTAGGGAGGAACTTGTTTCAAAAGTACAGCAACTGACAGAAGATCATCAGAGGGCTCATATGGATTTGCAGCAGGTTCCTGCTCTAATGTCGGAACTTGAGGGCCTTAGACAAGAGTATCAGCATTGTAGGTAATTTCTTTGCTTGATGTTAATGTTCAATACTGTGTATCTAATTAAATGATGCTTAGTGAATTTTCTTATATATTGGCGAGAGATACAATGCAATATGCAGGGATGTACTTGAAATAGCACTATAACTATGAATGTGTTGCTCTTTGCTATAACACATTTCCATCCATAAGGAACTTGTTCCTGTGTGCTGCTAAACAGTTGGTTTAAAGTCTGCACAAAGCATGAAACAGATTTATTACTGGAGTTGTTTGCTTCAGCAATATTTTTATTGAGAAAGAACAAGATCGATTTTAGTCTTATGGTCTGTTGGAGTTCATTTTGAGGAAATCATGTATGTAACTTATTTGCTTGTAAGACTTGTCTTTTTTTTTCTTTTCTGCTCTGTAATATTCCTTTCGTTGTACTAACTGGAACAGACTGAATAGTTGTTTTTTTTATCCACAACTTTAATTAAACATTTAGCAGGATTGTTGGGGTTTCAAGTGACCAGTAATTAAGTGAACATGGTTTTAGCACATAGTTATATTGGGGGCCCGAGAGAGCAATGGTAAGCTGCCGAAGCTTTGGTGGGATAGCTACTTTGGTGGTATACTGGTATTTAGTCATTCAAGGAACATGAATTGTGTGAGTAGTTTAGAATAAAAGTCTTTAGTGTTGGTATTGCAGTTTAACTTTCTGGTATTATATTTGAGCAAAAAACAGGTGCAGCATATACTATGTAATGGAATGTTGTTATAGATATTGAGAGTTAAACAGGTTAGGCATGTTTAAGTATGCAATATTATTTTAAATACTTTTGTGAATCTATAGCCCATAAAAGAAAATACTAAATTTAAGAGTGCTATGTCAGATGATATAGCATCATACTTCAAGATTACTGTGGCAATGGTTTTTAAATTTAGTAGTTTTATTGTTGAAATTAGTCAGTAACGTCAAGACCTTTTGCTTCTGTGCTATTTTCAGGACAACTTACGAATATGAGAAGAAATTATACAACGATCATCTTGAATCTCTTCAGGTGATGGAAAAGAACTACATGACCATGGCAAGTGWGGTGGAAAAGCTTCGAGCAGAATTGAAGAAACATGCTGAAATTGACAGGAGGACTGGTACAGTATTTATTGTCTAATTATGTTTCTGTTTTTGCTTTATTGCCATTTCTTAATAGCATTGATTTTTCCACTCACATGGCAGCTGGACCTTATGCTGGCTTTGCTGGGTACAGTGACAAAGAAGCTTCTGGCCATTATCCCGTTGGGCAGAACACTTATGATGATGCCTATGGTGTTCCGCAGGTTAGAAGAATCCTTTTGTTTCCCCCTCTTTTTTTTTTTTTTCTGAATTCTTATGTGTTGTACCTGATACTGAAACCCCAAATATTTGATTGAAGGCTAATGTATTTTTCTGTTAACTAATGCTGAGAATTGTCATGTAACTACCTCACAGAAATAGGATGTGGGCTAATGTCTTCTGATAATTATTTATACAGTTGCTTTGCCGTCTAGCAGCCTTTCCTCCCAGAAATAGGTTTGATGCTTGTATAGGAATTAGGAAGGTTGTAGAATCCTAGCAATGTGGGGGAGTGATCTAAGTTTATCTTTGTTAAAACAAATGGCAAAGGATAGGATAGTCGTGTATAGCGTTTAAATGGAAAATGAGAAAGCATGAGGACGGCCCAACGGCCAAGCCTGCTCTACAGGTGCTACTCCAGATATGGAGACTGCATCTATCTAGATTTCTCTCCATCGGAAGAAGCAGCATATTCCCTGGGTGTGACAGCAATGATTGCATCACTGGACAACAACACACTTGGAGTTTCTATAAGTAGGTGCTTTCTGAATTGCAGTAACACAGGCTATCCTAGAAATGAAGTGTTGATCTTAGCCAAGGCGTGCTTGAATATAGCATAACCTCTAGATACTTGTAACAAAGTGTTACAGTAACCATCCATTAACTGTTGATGCTCCCTCTATTTTCAAGAAAGAACACCATGCTTTTATGAGTACCATGGGATCTTTTGTATTTGAATTTTGAAATATGACGATATATGACAAGGGCCAATGATATTAACCAGGTCTTGTCTATTTTGGTGCCTAAGAGTTGATGCTTCCTTCTAGTTTGTTAAACATGTTGACAAGTCTGGCATATTTGCATGACAGGGACGTAGTTCTCTCCCTGGAGGTGGTGGTGCCGCTGCTGTGGATGGGAATGCTCCAGTTGGAGCTCAATCTGGAGCTACCGCTGTGAGGGCTGGTTATGATGCTTACAGAGGACCTGGACCTGCTGGTCCAGGTTATGATGTGCAGAGAGGACCTGGACCAACCGTTCCAGGTTATGATATGCAGAGAGGACCTGGTCTTCAAAAAGGACCTGGTGCACCAGGCTATGATCCACAAAGAGGACCTGGTGGACCAACCTACGACTCACAGAGAGGGCCTGGTGGACCTTCCTACGAAACACAGAGAGGCCCTAATGCACCAGGTTATGATACACAACGATATGATGCACAAAGAGGACCTGCTGGACCTGGTTATGATTCATACAGAGGACCTGGTGGAAGTGGATTTGATGGACAACGAGGACCTGGCGGACCTGGTTATGACATGCAACGTGCACCCGCTTATGATGCACGCAGAGGATCCAACACCGATGCACAGAGGGGACCCACTTACGATGGACAGAGAGGAGCCCAGTATGATGCACGTGGACCTGGGTACGAGGTGCATAGAGGAAGCAGTTTTGAGTCACCCAAAGGCCCTTCTGGACCACAAGGGCAGGCAAACAATGCTTCTTTTGTAGCTAGTCATGGTGGCGGTGGTTATCAGGGAGCACAGCCGCCACCGCCACCTCCAGCAGATGGTAACCACCCTGCACGCAGATAAGCAGCTTGCTGTTTTGTTAATTGAACGAAAACTTGATTTTGTTTTTAGTCTCCATTCGTGATCTTTTTCGTTGATGTTGCAATGCAAGGCACTATGAGAGTTGTGTTGAGGTTGCTTTCTTGGAAGTAATTTGTCAAATACACAACACCATTGCAGACAGCATCCATTTCGGCATATTATTTTGATCAAGCTATCTTGCACGAAATACAAATCAAACTTGGTTCAGATTTCGGATCTTCTGTTCCTTCCAAATATATTACTCATTAACAAATGTGTTTCGAGCCCAACCCCTAACTTGGCTCATGGCTTGTTGAGCTCAAACCACTCATGCTTGAGTCCTCGGTTTTGGCTTGTTGGGTTTGGTTCCTTTAAACGTGTCTGATTATGTTATTTTCTTATATGTGAATTAAGCTATCTGTAAAATCGATGTTTGTTTTTGTTATAAATCATGCTTTGAGTGACATAAATTGATAACTTATTCTTTAAGCTCTCAATCTCTCTTCCCATTAGCATGGAGCATAATCATATAAACAATTCCGAACAAAGATGATAACAGGAGCCCTATAATAATCAATTAATAAAAAGATAAATATAATTACTTTTATAATTATTTTTAATTTATTTTATAATTTATAATTCCATTTTAAATTTTATAAACCAAATTCACAAGAGGTTCAAAATTTCTTAAAATCCAAATCATTTTAATTTTAAAATGTTTTATAAATGAAAATCCAAATCTCTTATAAACATTTAGGTGGGTCACCTACCCCCTTACATAAGATTCACAAAAAAACATCATTTAAAATGTTTCCTATTCCTATAAATTACAAAGATTTGCCGGGGAAAAGCTTCCAACCGACTGACATATGATTTTTTTTGCCGGCCATATATATATATATATATATATATACTATATTATAAAGCATTTGGCTAAAACTCTTAAAAACTCTTAAAACTCTTAAACTCTTAAAAATTTTAATCCCGTTCATCCATATCTGATTTCATCTCATAACTGAATTCGTGTAAGAAACTACAGATAAACATAATCAAATACATGATAAACATCTCATTTTAAATATAAAAAATCTAAAATATAATTAGGATAA